ATTTTTATGTACAAATATGAATTCTGGTCCACAAATTCTTACCCATCTCAGCATGTCTTCATACATTGAAAAAGCTACAAGTAATATGAATAGAAGTTACGTTTATTACTACAAATGAAAAGTTTAATACTTTTCAAAACCGCTTTATGTAATTTCTTCCAAATCTTGAGTTGTTAGTGTCGATTTCCTCATGCAGGGTCTATAAATAAAAGTTATATTTACTTCCTTTCTGTGATGGTCATTTTCATCTGGGAGAGAGAGCTCTCATTTTGAAGATCGTTTTCTCCTGAATTAGAAAATCCTTCATTAATAAATTACATAAAAAGGGATCTGCTTTAGTATATTGACCAAATTCAATTAGATAATGATAATGCAATTTGCTTCTTTGTGTTATGGACGTACTTCAAATTATTAAATGACAGAAAATGCTTTAAGTGGTTCCTATTATAGACTCTTACTTTACAAATGAATAAACAGAAGTCCAAAGAAGGAAAATTACTTCCCTAAACATATGTAGCTAGGAACCCGTAGCCCTGGGATACAGGCTGTTGACTAGAGCACTTTAAACTGCACACCACACTGCTTCTCCTGCATCACAAACTGTGTCCATACACTGCCCAATCCCGGAGACAAATTAATCAGTGATAGATACAAACAAAACAATCACCAAAAAACCCCAATACTAGTTAATAGCTATTATAATTTCTAATCGGCTTGCCAAGTCTACTTTTTGACTGATTATGTGGAGTTTATCTATGTATGTATCTCCAACATAACCCTGAGTTTTGCCATACTGTATATGTATATAGATTTTATATACATTGAGTTGCATGTATATTTGCAGCATATGTGTGTGTGTGTACCTGAAGTCTGAAGATTGTACATTGGGATTTTATATACATTGAGTTGTATGTATATTTGCAGCATGTGTGTGTGTGTGTGTGTGTGTGTGTGTGTGTGTGTATCTGAAGTCTGAAGATTGTACATTGGGAAAGCTTCTTGTTGCCCTGTGTTTCTGAACCTCCATCTGGAAAACAATATCTGGTACATAATATATATGTTATGCAATGTATATGTGGGCTATTTAAAAACTAAGAGCACTATAATTGTCCTACAATAGATTTGCAAGTCTTAATTTTGAAGATGCTGATGTCCAAAGGGGGAAAAAAATTGAAAGATTCACGATGATGCTTAGAATAAGTATCCTTATGGGATTTTATTAAAGGTGCAGCATTTAGTAAATATTTTCGTCTGTGGAATCCTCCGCTATTGAAGAATAAATATTGATTATTTTTACTTTCTGGCCAAATCATTTTTATTCATTGCAGCAGTATTGTTAACAGTTAGAAATTTCAGCATTTTCCTCCTTTAAGATATGTTATTTTTCCAAGCCCTTGATTTTTGGAATTACACCAAACATTTCTGGACATATCATTAGTCATAGGGTAATTTTTAAAAAGTGACTCCTTTAATTCTGGTATGTTGTCCTTATGAATGCAATCCTTTTTCCCTGTTTAAATTATGGTCCTTGTATATTTTTAAATTAGTAAAAAGAATCTTTAGACTGTAAGACAACAAACATTTTTGTAGAACCACTTTGATCTCAGATCTTACATAATTACCATTATATTTCACAGTGAGCCAACCATATATTTGACTCGACTGACATGTTTTTACTCTTCGTACAAATAATCAAAAAAGAAAAAAAAAACCTTCTTATAGAAAAACACTTTTATAATGCAATTCAAGATTCTATTTAGTTCATTTTGATTTGTTTGTTTATTTGCTTTCTCCGGGGCAAAAATATACTATTTTCTTATTTTGGCTTAGAACATTAAGTCATGACTTCTGATCTTGCCAGATAGTAAAACTAAACAATTTTGGCTCTAGCCAAGTTTTTGGAAAACTCAAAAGAAATTTAGGTGCAACAGGGAGAGATGTTAGTAATTCCATTTGTTCAGCTCTTGCTTTTAGAGTATTCCCTGAATTTTGTTGAAGTCTGTTACTGCGTTGCTGTGAATCATTGCTGCCAACTTCCACCCTAGAGATGGCTATATTTCAGATGGGTGAAATGATACTTGTAAACAAGTTTATAATCATTGATAAAGCTTACCAAACAATTTTAAGCTCTTTAGAAACACACATTCACTATTATAGTTGCCTATTTCTTATTTAATTACAACTTTTAATAGAGACATGATGACTTTTAAAATGCAATTTATAACAATTCTACACTTAAGTTTTTTTCATGATGTTTATCTTGTTTTTGTAAGTTTCAGGTGTCAATTTATTTCTCCCTGGACATACTGGTTGAAATTTCACTGTTGACTATTCCAATGCACCCTTTAAAAATCCCTGAGAATATTTTTCTTTCAGGTTGACAACTGCCCACTCTGGGATCCAGGTGCAATATTAACAGTATGATGATTTTGTTCTGTTTTCTACACATGGCTTTTTCATACACTGTCTCTCAGAGATGGAAAATTCTGCCTCTTTTTTACATTTTATAGTAAACTTTCATCAGAATGACCTAAAACCAGGTCTTTTCATTCTAGATGGATCAAGATTATTCAAGATTCATCTGTAGTTTGCTTCCCTGAATATCTTGGTGATAAATTAATCTAATGTCTCTTTTTAGAGTGCCTACTTCATACAGAACATACACCAGCCACTGTGTGTAAGCAGCACTAAAAAACTGTGGTTTCCAATAAATGAAATCTATAGATGCGAGCAAGTGTCAGTGGGTCCCTGAAAGAATGTGCTAGAATCTGAGTAGTTTTGAGGTTTGTGGTGCTGTCCTTTAGAGTCAGGAGAGTATCTTCTTTCCATAAGATTAAAATAATATATAACGTTAACCCCTCTCCCCCTAAGGTTTTCCAACTGTACGGTTGCTCTTCTGACACAAATGCATTGGGCCCTCCCATACCTCCATTCAAAAAACAATGAAAAGACCCTTGTTTCTTAAGAGTTTTAAGTGCTGCAGCTAGTATCCATGAGGATAGCGAGAAAACATAGAGAACACAATGTTCTCCCCAAATTGAAAAGTTTTAAACATTGCCTGAAAATAATAAACACAATACCCTACACTTTTATAGTCATTTTAAGTTGGAAAAGTGTATGCACATCTATCATATTGTTTTACTCTCAGAATTAGTCTTGTAAAGGGAGAAGGGCATTCAATAATTGAGTGTCTATTGCCTGCTAAACACTGTGAAGTGATGATCCATGATACACAAGGCAATCCAAAGAGGTTAGACTTTCCTTGGGAGGATAAGACATGAACAGAAATAAATACAATAAAGATAGAATGTATCTTGTAATAAATAGAGGGAGGAAGGGACACTTAGAATTATGTTCCATACTATGCCAGGAAATGAATATGTATAATCTATTAATACCCCTCCCAACTCTATAGTAGCAATTTTATCAACAATTTATGGACTAGGAAATCCAGGCTCCCAGAATCTAAGTTCCTTGTCTCAGGAAGCTAAGTGCCCATCACAAGCTTTGTACTGAATTTCTGGCAATCAGAACATCAAGCAAGGCTCCTGACTCATCAGCCATTACCCAAACTTTTCCCATTAGATCAGGCTGGTTTCAGAAAAAATGCAGTATTAACACATCCACATTTTCTTCTCTTAACACCGTCCCTTCCATTCCAACAGCGCTGGTGTCCCTCAGGACTTGCCCTCAGGGCAGGTAAGGAACTTGTCGGTTGCCCTTGGTGAGAGAGGCTGTTTGCTTTTCTTAGCTGAATAGGACCAGAATCACCGCTGCGTTTGGCTTCTGAAGTTAGATAGACTAACAGACTGTGAGTGCCCAAGGGGGTCCTTTGGACGCCCACAGAGTGGCGATGGTGTCTCAGACTTTACGGAGACCTGTTTTACCTGTGAAGAAAACGAGGCTCAGGGAGGGGAAATGACTTGACCAAGGTCATACATTCGATGGTGGCAGATGTGGGATCAGAACCAGGTCTTCTGACTCCAGCCCAGTGCCTCCCAGGATCTAATTTATTAACCCCTGTGTTAGCTTTGGAATCTTTTATCCGCTTCCCTTTTTCCTGTCGTCTGAGTGGGGGATGTCATTCCAGTCTATTAGCAGCCTTCTCTCGTTTCAAAAAGGGAAGAGTGGATAAGGGGTTGGGGAAAAGTATGTTTTCGGCCGGCCAGTTAAAGGGGCTGATTTATTTCACCACCACTCATCCAACGCCAGCTCGGTGCCAGGCACTGGGCATCCACGGTACAGCAAAGACAGCTTCCAAAGATTGAAACTGGGTCTCTCCCAAGACTGGGCGTGCCCTGGGCCTTGACTGTCTCCTCTCGGAGCAGTCTCCCGCTGTCCCCAGAGCCCCCCTGCTCGAGGAACCTCCAGCACTGGGCGCCTAGCTCACGGCCTCAGCGCCCGCAGGACACGCCCCCGGTCACCACGGCAACCGGGGAGGTGCTGACCCTTGACCCCGGGCCCCGCCCGGCCCTGCCCCGCCCCGTCGCATTCCCGAGATCAAGATGGAGAAGAACAACCCGGAAGTGCCGCCGCCTGCCTGGTGCTAGGAGCCGCCGGCTCGGCTAGGCCGAGACCCGCGCCCGCCGTCCTTCCGCCAGCGGCCCACCCCGCGGTCCTTCCGCGCCGGAGCGGCAGCGTTCCCCGCCCCGGGTCCCACTCCACCCCACAGCGACCCGCCCCCGCCCCCAGGCCCGCCCGAGAGGAGGAGCCGAGGCGAGGGGGAGGAGGCGGGTGAGGTTTGCGAGAGGGAGCGAGGCCGCACGAGCCGCCGGCGGTTCGTATTACCGGGGTCGGGAGGAGGAGCCCAGCCGGGCCCGCGGACCAGCGCCGGGCGGGCGGGAGGCGCGGAGGAGGCGGGCGGAAAGCCCGGGGCTGCGAATTGGGGCGGGGGCGCTCTCCCACCTCTGCCGCCCTCCGTTCGGGCCTTGGCGGCCTGGCCTCACCTGCCCGGAGGCCTGGGAGCCACCAGTCGCCGCCGAGGGCCAGTCCCCGGGGCCGGCGGAGCGTGGAGGTGCGGACGCGAGGCGCGGGCCTCCGCGCGGAGGCCTGGACTGCGCGGCCAGGTGATGGTGGGCCCCTGTGCTTCTCCAGAGGAAAGGGGACCCCCAGAGCAGCTGTGCCCCCAGGCTGCCCCAGCAAGCCGTTTGGACATCAGCCGTAGGGAAGTCGGGCAGCTGTGAGTTTGCCTGTCTCCGTTAAGTGTCCTTAGGATGCAGTGATTTAAGGCATCAGGCTCTCCCTGCGGGAGGGGCCCTGCCTGCGCTGGTGAACTCGGTTCAGAGAAAAAGGACAGAATGATGCTTTCCGAGCAAGCCCAAAAGTGGTTTCCGACCCACGTGCAGGTCACAGTGCTCCAAGCCAAAGATCTTAAGCCAAAAGGCAAAAGTGGCACCAATGACACATACACTATAATTCAGCTGGGCAAGGAAAAGTACTCCACCTCTGTAGCCGAGAAAACCCTTGAGCCAGTCTGGAAGGAAGAGGCCTCTTTTGAGCTGCCTGGTTTGCTAATGCAGGGGAATCCAGAGAAATACATCCTTTTCCTCATAGTTATGCACAGGTCCCTGGTGGGTCTGGATAAGTTTTTAGGGCAGGTGGCCATCAATCTCAATGACATCTTTGAGGACAAACAAAGAAGGAAAACAGAGTAAGTTATGTAATTTATTTTGAATTGGGGGGAGTTTAACTATTATCTCATTTATGGATTTCCTGTTCTTGGAAATTATTTGTCTATCTGGGGCATTGGTTTTTGGACTGAAATATGACCCAGTTTTAAACACCATATTTGCATGAATCTGAAGTAAAAATAGCCCTTGTGAAGAAACATTTTTTAAGTGGAGTCTTTAATGATCCATTACTCTCTCATTTGTTTGAGGTAAACATCTTCAATAATTGAATATTTTGCGCAGGGTTTTAAGTAAACATTGTTTCACTACTTAATAAGAGGACTGGACCATAGTGTTGACCAAGTAAAACAACATATATGTAAATTGTTACAATCTTTAAACATTAACAGTTTTTCAGAAAATGGAACATCAGAAAATTAAGTCTGCCAATATGACGTCTTATATATATATATTTTTTTTTTAATTGAATTCTGAAGCTGTTAAGTGGTAAACTACCAAATTTAGAACTCAGTATTTTATTTCATAATTATAAACACAGTTGACTTTTATTTTAGCTCAAATTTAAGGGTCAGTACATCTTGATGGAGTCTAAAGCTATTAAAAGAGAAGTTTTAAAAGTATGTACAGATATCCTCAACCTTGAATGCAATTACTTCAAAGTTAGTTCTGTAAAGCCAGTGTGTTTAGACCATATTAAATGCTAGTCAGATTGGAGACAGTGATTAAATTCTTGTGATGAAGTGATTTAATGACATCTTCAATAAAAACATGGGCTTTTTAATGTGACTTACATACTTAGGTTAGATGTATTCTAATTTAAAAAACCATAATATAAGTTAAAACTAGGATATATGTCTTAAATTGAAAATAGTATGTTTTCTGAGATAGAGATACTCACCCCTTGCTTAAACTTATAATTTCTCTAGTCTGAGAGAACATTAAAGTTGATGTAATTAGTGAGAGAAAAATATAGGTTGAATTTATGAGGACTTCAGATTTCAAAAATAGCTTTGCTGTTTCAGTTATGACTGAAATTTATTTATGCTTTTAAGAACTTTTATAATAACTTTCTTGAAGTTCATGTTATTTTCTTATATTTTAAAACAGCCATCTCATGTTCTTTCTGTACATATCTTCCTGCAAGCTTCTCTTGGTTGGAGTTTTTATTGAAAAAAAATTTTTTTAATCAGGTCTTTAGTTTAATATATGTAGGGTAAAAGGGTAGAGAGATAAGTAATACTAGGAATGCTGGAGGAAAATGATAAATATTTGAAGAGATGAAAATATTTTAAAAGGAGAGAAAAGGGTTTAAAGAAGAGTGTAAAGTTGAATATATATCAATGATTTTAATAACACTGTTTGATACCTACAAAGTAGCATTCAGTTACTTCTGAGGAGTTCTTCATCAAATTTAAACTGAAAAATGGATAATCACCAAATAATTTATTTCAAATTGCCAATTTTAGATGACCTTACTAAATAATATTTAGAAGTGTTTTGAATGTAAACTTTTAAGTATATTGCATCTTCAAATTTCATACTGCATTTACCGTACTTTTAGTGTTAATGGATGATATACTACAGGCCTTCTCTGAAATATAAGTTTTCCGAGTGAAAGTAGGCCCAACTGTGTGAACCCAGAGATTCTGAGAATGAAATACGCTTTTAAAGTTTCTTCTTGTTTTACTCCTTATCTTTGGCAGCGTCACAATTACAATAAAGTTGGCTGTAAGCGATACTCCAATATTGTAGTCTCCCTACAGAAATTCTCTATTGGCTACTATATGAAATGGATTAGAACTTCGGGAAGGAAAATGCTTTTAAATGTTATCAGGAGCGCTTGTGATGTTACTGCATTCAAAGTGATTTTCATGTGTTATTAAATCCCTAACATTTTCTTTCTTTGTGGGTAAATGGGGACCACGTATTTGATGAGATCTCTTTATTGGTAATATTTCTAGTTTTTTAATATAGTTAATAGCTTCCTTTTCCAGCACAGCTGTACATATGGCCCAGTAAGAGACAGACTTGAGTCACCGGTGTGTTGCAAGAAAGATATTTAATATTCTGCACATTGTTGAGCCTTGTCAGCATATTCCCAAGTGCTTTTTAGAAAACCGGTATGAGTGATGAAGGCTACCAGCTGATTTAGAAGTCCCATGGAACTGCTGGGTGTGACAGTTTCTGCTCTTGACACTGAAGACAAGTATTTACAGCTTGTCTTCCAGTTGTGTTGTGACAGGCCAAGAAGTGTGGTGGCTAAAACTATCATTTTACTTATTTTTATACCTTGAAATTAAAAGCCTTTTTTTTTCTTTCAAGGAGAGGGGAAGAGGGGCCTGAGCCAGAACACTTTGAGTGGGGCATGGAAAGAGAACTTCTGTATCTCCCACTTTAATGGATGTCTGGGTTGGTTCTGGCACGAGATTTAAGGAAACAACACAGTATTTAATAATAGAATGGTAAAATAGTTCGTGCTGTTATGTAATACCGATTGATTTTTTTTTTTTTAACAGAAGTGGGTGATGTTGATTTTTTTTTTTTTTAATGCTCATGAAAAGTAGTAACCATCAGAGTCCCTAGAGTTAGGTATGACTCAAACACATGCAGATTTTAGGACTTTTGTGTGCAGCTCTGCAGTGCACCTGCGTCCTGGCCTCTGGCACCCTTACTGCCAATCTTGTCCCATTTCTGACCACACAGTACCAATTGCTTGGGAATAGTTCCCACATGTGTGGTGGTTTTTGAATATGGACCTGTGCCCACTAAAAATTGAACAGAGGCCATATACAGTTTAAATCCAGCACTCCAGAGGTGAAAAAAAAATCAGCATTAATCCACTAAGCCTCAAATGCTATGTCTTCATTTTATCTTTTTGAAGCCTGGGAAAACAAGTGCTATCTCTGGAATGATTCTTGAAGGTCTCATTAAGACTTCCCTATTATATCACTTTCAAAACAAAGCAGCTAGAGTTATTTGTCATGCCTATATTTTCAGTTGGTATATTAAAGTTCTTCGCAGTTGGGTTTTTGGAGGGTTTTTTTTTGACGAGGAGGAAGGAAAATACTGTTTTTACAGTTTATATTCAAACACTGACTTGCTTTATCCATTAAAGCTTACCTAAGTCTTTATCTTTCCTTACCAAAGAACAAAACAGTGCAACACATACACACACACACATACACACACACACACACACACACAGGGTTGTAGCATGACTGTTTTAAGAATATAGTTCTAGAAATGAAAATTCAGTAAACATTTATTTAGTGCAAGGCAAACTGCCTTCAAGGAGCTTACACTCTAGCAGGACAAAACCTACATTGCCTTCTTTGTTCGCTCTCATGTCTCCTGATTAAATACAGTGTCCTGTAAGGTACAACCTGATATGCGTTTAACCTTATTAACATATGTGATTCATTAGATACAAAAGAACTACTATTTTCATGCAGCTGTTATTCATCAATTTTGGCTATTTTCCTTGTTGACTCCAATCTGACATTGAGAAGTTACTTATTCTCTGTGCCTCAGTTTCCTCATATGTGAAATAAGGATGTTAGACTAGATGATTTATTTGGTCTCATTTCTAAAATTCTATGAATTTCGATTACCCTTACTCCCTTACATTTATTGGGTTATTGCTTCATTTTTTCCTCAGATTTGCTTTGATTTGTTATACACATGCAAACCCTATATGCTTGGAGTTTTTGTTTGGTCCGTTTTGTTTGGGGATTTGTGGGGTTGGGGGGTGCATTTCTTGCAAAGTGGATTCACCTATTTTCTATATAACCTGAGTTGTTAATAGAGCATTTCTCATGGGCCATCCATCGGAAGGATTTCTCCCCCATGGAAAATGCTCTGTTTCCCCAAACTGTGAGTTAATAATTGGGTATATAACCTTGTTTCATTTCCAGGCTTTTCGAGTGCTCAACTTTGTTTTGTTGAAGGTTCTCTATTCCACAGAATTTATTGCTGTAATTTTTTATTTCTAGTCTCTGAGTTTTCAAATTTCACCATTTGCCTCAGATAAGGGATTTTCTCTATTTAGGGTCTCATGTTAATGCTTTCTATTATAAAATATTCTCTTTTTAAAAAGTTGCTTGTTTTGATGCAACTAGATCTTAATTGATTGAATTGCTTCAAATTAAATAGAAAAAATTTCTCTTGCATGTTACTTGCTAAGATGTAGCTGGTATATGTATTATGTGCCAGTTTTCTTTTGCCTGGAAAGGCCTTTGAACCAGTCTTGCAATTGATAGTAAGTGTAGCTTCTTCTGGTATATCCTGTAAAATTAGATCAGAGTTCCTTTTGTAGCTAAGAAAATTTAACACTTGCAGAGCTGTATTTAAATGATGACCTGTCTCCGATAATATACGGATATATACGGGACGGATAATATACTTCATTGTTAAGTAATGTGAAAGCATTGTGGAAACTCTCTCCTAGGCTGGAGTTTGTAGTTTTTTTGGCTGTTTGCCCTGTAGACTGACCATTTGTGACACCAACAGTTGGAGAGGTTCTCATGGATAAAAATACTGTAAACAAAACCAAAATAAACTTTGCTTCTTACACATCATTTAAAAATGGGCAGTGTAATTCACTGAAGTGACTAAAAGCATAGGATATGGCTCCAGTTAAAATAAGTTTTATTTGGTATTGTCACAGTACCAATAGTTAATGAAACAAATAGATTCTAAGAGGAAGCATGTAAGCTTTCTTTTTTCATCAAAAACGCTTTACAAGATTTATTACTATTTGTCACTTCTTGCATTTTATTTAATTTGCATATTTTATTCAGGAAGAGGCTTTGACCCATTTTATATGAATGTAAATTTTATCATATGCGATTTTCTTGATTAGCAAACTATATGGAGTAGTCTCCCATATTATCAAAATTCTTTTAATAGCTTTTGCAGGGCAACTATTTTGAGATAGAGGCTAAATATTTATTATTTTATTAAAAAATTAGTCATCATTTTATGGTGCTCAAAAATAGTTTGTATTTATGAATTATTTCAGGGTCTCTATCTTAGTGTCCTTTAATGCTAAAAAATGTTCTTCAGCCATTAGCAACACTTACCCCAGATGGAAACATAATAGGCTATGGTTGGTAAGAATTTTTGATGATGAGTGATTTTCAAATCATGAAAGAAAAAGTTGTCTAAATAGCTTTTCAAAAAAGACTGATTCCTTCTGTATATGCCACATGACAGAGACTTATCTGTTTTTTAAATGAAGCATTGAATAAAATCAGAAGCACTCTGGCTGACAATTTCTCGTTTAGTGCTTAGATTGCCTTGATGTAGAGTAACTTTACCTAAAAAGCTGTTTGTATACAACAGAGCTCAATAATCCTCTCTTCATTACATGTTACAACCCAGTTTTTCCTTCTCTTTAAGGTGGTTTAGTTTAGAATCCAAACAAGGAAAAAGAGCCAAAAACAGGGGTGAGATAAAGGTCAATATTCAATTTATGAGGAACAATATGACAGCAAGTATGTTTGACTTATCAATGAAGGACAAAACAAGATCTCCTTTTGCAAAATTAAAAGATAAGATGAAAGGTAGAAAAAATGATGGGACATTTTCTGATACATCTTCTGCAATCATTCCAAGTTCTCACATGCCTGATGCCAATACTGAATTTTCAAGTAGTGAAATACAGATGAAATCTAAACCAAAAAAGCCTTTCCTTTTGGGTCCTCAGCGACTCTCTTCAGCGCATTCAATGTCTGATTTAACTGGGGCCCATGTATCCACGGAGAAGCTGAAGTCTGGCACCGTTGCTCAAACGCATCTTCTCGGACACCAGATAGGTTCCTTTGGAGCAGTTCCGGAAAGTGGTAAGTGACTCATGCATTCTTTCTTGTTGATCCTCCATGGTTTGAACTACCCTCTTAATTTTTAAAGTTTGACTTCAAAGTTAGAGAATAAAAATTGGGAGTTTCTTGCTAGTATTTTCTAAATTTAGTCATCAAATATTTATTGAGTACCTACTGTACTCAAAATTGGTAAGTTTATTAAAGGCAGAGCTTGTCTGCATTCAGTACTGTATTTATATTATTAGAGAATAAAAATGAGTCGTGGTTTCTTTTCATGGCCTGGCTTCTTTTTCTTAACTGCCGTTTCTCCTGTCTCAAAAGCCTGAAGCATAAATGAATATTCCGTTTCATCAGAAAGTTCCTAGAAAAGAAACCTTTAATGTTCAGAAGTAAGAAAGTAAATGTAATGCTAATGATGAAGAAAAGTCTGAGAATTTATAGCACTGTGATGCCAAGCAGAACCTTTAGTTTTGACATTATAATTTGTTTATGTGATTGTTTCTTTCTGAGCTGAGTAAATTACTAATTGTCTAGCAAGATACTAATTGTTATTAGCCTACATACCGCTGTACCTTAGCATTTTAAGGTTGTTTTCCTTGATTATTTTAAAAGGTTAATATCTTTAAATAGCTAATTGCTCTCATTCTAAAAACAGCAGTATGCACACAGAACATGTCAAATAGTGTGATGTAATGTGTCACTGATTATGTACTAACTACAAAATTGTTTGCAGGAAGTCTCAGATCTCCACACAGAAGAACATTAAGCTTTGATACTTCTAAAATGAACCAACCTGACAGCAGTGTGGGTGAAGGTGAATCGTCTTTCGGAAGACAAAATGACCCATTTACAAATGTGACTGCTTCATTACCCCAAAAATTTGCAACACTGCCAAGGAAGAAAAATCCATTTGAAGAAAGCAGCGAATCATGGGACAGCAGCATGAATTTATTTTCAAAATCAACTGAAGTAAGAAAAGAAAATAAAAGAGAAAAAAGGGAGAAAGTTAGCCTGTTTGAAAGAGTGACTGGAAAAAAAGACAGCAGAAGATCTGATAGACTTAACAATGGGGGATCTGATAGCCCTTGTGACTTGAAATCACCTAATGCATTTAGTGAAAATCGTCAGGACTATTTTGATTATGAGTCAACTAATCCGTTTACAACAAAATTCAGGGCTTCAAATATAATGCCATCTTCAAGGTAAGCTTAACGGGGGGAAATTGTGCTATTTTGGAAAATACTGTACTTGAAAGTATCAAATATCCTTTTTAAATTCCTTTTATTTTACTTGAAAAATAATTCTTATCTTATTTTTATAATTAATTTTGGAGCCGGGTAGTGTTGCATACATCTTTGGAATTGAACTTTTTATCTTAGAAGGATAAAAGATTCTTAATCCCCACTGTAGTTTATTTCTACTTATGTTAGCCAGAAGCTCACCGAAACTTACAGAGAAAACAGCATAGCTTTTGATGAGGCGTAGTGGGAGTGAATCACCAGTGGGTGTTAATTCAAGCCAGAAATTTAGGTGATAAGTTGTGTTTCTAGATGTTATTTTCTGGAGATTAGTTATGGACCAATAGCAGCCTATGGACTATTCTTTAAGAAATGCTGGCTTAAGTATTAATGGTTTTCATAATAGGTGTTAACCAGCCTTATTAAATGGCTATTTAAAGTAGTTTTTATTTGTGAATGTTTATCGGAATTCAGTAAACCTTGTGGGTACTATAAATACATCAAAGAGTATCTGTAATGATGACTTATAGAAATAATCTATCATGATAAGGTTTAGATTTTCAAAATCTGTTCTCAGTTATGTAATAGTACTTTTCTAATTCCTTAGTACAGGTTGGAACTGTATGGTTTAAATAAAATGATAGATTTTGCAGAAGTGAATGGTGGAATAGCTGATTAAGGAAACCTCAAGCAAAGAGTAAGATGAATTTATTGGAATCTTAAGCAGTCATCATGGAAGAGCATGGTAGACTGTTTGCCATGTAACATAGACGTTCTTTCCCAAGGCAAGGACGTATGGTGTTCAGACCCCAGTGGGAAACCTGGCTCAGTAGCTCTGTGACCTCTCTCAACCTCAGCATCTCCATCTTTGAAATAAGGAAAATGATATCTACTTGATAGGATTGGGAGACGATAAATGATAAAGTACATGGTACAAAGGCAGGCCCCAAATAGGGAACCCATAAACGGTGGTTGCTGTTTACATTGCCATGTCATACTTTGTTCAAGAACAGTGCTTTGTGTTGTCTTACTATAAACAGAAAATAGTACTAACAATTGCCCTTTTAGGCATGTGATCTCCTGCCTGTCTTCTGATCTTCTAAAACATGCATTTAGAGTTTTCCAGGGAAAGTTTGTGTTTCTTTTATCAATAAATGGGTATTTGTTGTGGCTTTAGAAAGTATTGTTCAGTTTTCTTTATAGACTGTACTCCAAAGAAATATGTTTTTATCATATGGTATTAATATTTTATTGAAGAGTCCATGGTTTTTTTATGCTATTCTCAAGCATTTCATTTTGGTATTTTACATAGTGTACTTCACATATTGCGGTTAAGTCTTAAACTACAGAGGTAAATAGAAATGTATTTGCTTTTTTCCCCTCTTTAACTGAACTTTTTTTGAAGAGGATTACTGTAAAGAACTGAGATAACTTAGAGATTGGATAATTTACATAATGTTAAAGTCAAAGAAAAGCTAGAAAAATGGGAAACAATAGGAAAATAATTTTAAATTATGGCAGCATATGGAAAAATAGGTGTCCTCAAATTTTTAATTGCCTTATACTTGGGCTTATTTACGTGGACCTAAAAATTAATGTTTTAAAAGTGAGTGTGGCATTTTGTGAAATTCAGGCTTTGTTTTGGGTTACTTCAGTATTAATACTGTATCAGAATTAGCTGTTTCATGATATTTGTATAAAATGATTGCAAATATGTGAAAAACAATAGGTTTTTTTTAATTTTAAGAATTTCTCTTCTTCATATTCATGAGATGCCAGCTATAAGAACAGAAACATTTGTAGATTCCTGAGAAGTTACTCTTCCTTTTTGTGTCACAAACCGTCTTTGTGATAAATGTAAAACATTTGCAATAAAGGGGTAGGTCTAATTAATAGTATAAAAAAAGAAGGATTGAATATAAATAGATCTAGGAAGAGAGTGCAGTTCAAATTCTTGGAAAGCAACTTTGTCTCGAGTGGAATTAGGAAGGATATAGTCTGAGGTAGTTTAGTCTATTCATATTTATCCTCCCAGTATCATTCCTCAGTTATATGGGACATTTTAGATTTCTCACCTTAACATCTAAACCAAATGCACTTTTGAAGCTATAGACTCACATCACTAGGACACATGCTGTGAATTATTTTTTTCTGTAGTGCTAAATCCATTTACAGAGTCTCCTGGACTCTTTTTTTTTTTTAATTTATTTTCATTAACTTATTTTTTTGGCTGTGTTGGGTCTTCGTTGCTGCATGTGGGCTTTCTCTAGTTGTGGCGAGAGGGGGCTATTCTTTGTTGCGGTGCGTGGGCTTCTCATTGCAGTAGCTTCTCTTGTCATGGAGGCGTGCAGGCTTCAGTAGTTGTGGCACGTGGGCTCAGTAGTTGTGGCTCGCGGGCTCTAGAGTGCAGGCTCTGTAGTTGTGGTGCACGGGCTTAGTTGCTCCACAGAATGTGGGATCTTCCCGGACCAGGGCTTGAACTCGTGTCCCCTGCATAGGCCTTTGGCAGGCGGATTCTTAACCACTTGCGCCACCAGGGAAGTCCTCTGTTGGACACTTGTGACTGATTTTTTTTTTTTTTTTTTTTTTGGGG